ATATATATATATATATAATATTTTGATAATTACAAGCTTCTTTTTCTTTTTTCCTTATCCTTTTGGTACAATATATAATCATGTTTCATGTAACATGATTTATACGCATCTACAAGCCATATATGCATAAACTTTTACTGCTCCAATATATTTGCTTGTAAAATATATTGACACAACATAACGATTTTCAAATACATACCTGATAACTAAGCTAAAAGATTTTCTCTTTAGCAAAACATCGAAAAAAATGTTTAAATTAAGCTTTTAAAATATGTTTCATTTAATATTTGGTGTTTTTTTATATATTTTTTTTATTATTTTTTTTTTAATGTTTTGTGCGACACATGAGTGCTTTAGATGAAGTTAATTAGATTATTTTCATTCATTTTGTTTGTAGTTGAAATTTTTATTAAGTTTTTTTTTTCAATTTAGGTAATTGATTTATGAGATTATTGAATACATAATAAAGACAAGTTATATATTACCTGAACCGAGGATAACTCGGCTGTGTCGAGCTAAGACATAGAAGGCAAGTCACATGTTGTTCTAGCCTCACTCATCAAAGGACAAGTCACATGTTGTTCTATTTTCATTGCAATTTGTTATTTTTGTTAAGTCTAATTTATGTTAAAATATGATTCTTGTTACTTATATGGATTTTGAGTTTATATTTTTTATATTCAGGTATTTCAGTTTTATATTATAATATGTATTATGATATATGGAGTAGAAGGTGTCACAAAAGTCATCCCACACATGCTGAATATCTTAGATTTGTTTGTAATCACTAAACAATTGTCTTATCTTATCTCATCTGAAGTTATTTGTTACAACTTATTTAAATTAAATATATTTTATCCTAATTATTGCTTGTGAGACTACTTTTCACTTAGCGTCAAAGTCTTTTTTACAAGTGTCTCACCAGACTAAAGGATAGGAGACCTACATTTCACTCTTAATAAACTTGTGGAGATTTTAGTGAAAATAAGTTACACAAAAAAAAATCAAGGTTATTTTCACCTTGTCATTGCTCAAATACCTAAGTTCCCTACTAAGAGGGCAAGCGCATATAAAAGGATTTGTTTTTTCTTTCTAAAAACTACTACCAAGAAACTTGGCGTTACAATATTCTTCCATGGTTCCTTTGAGACACACAAAATATTGTAAATATTATGTAATTTTTTTAAATTTAAGAAATCTAGTTGAAATATTAAAAATATAAAAAAGTTAATATATTTTTTGTTTAATTAATTTATTAATTATAAGTGTTGAATCAAGCTATTTAATTTCTTGTATACATGAGAATCGAACTTAGTACTATAAGAGTTTTCAACATATCCTTCTAAATAAACTGTGCTAGACCCTCTCAATAATTAAGGCATGTATTAAGATTAAATAAGTTAATTATAGTACATTGTTAAAGTAAGTTTTACCATGCATTCTATTTAAGCAATTTTTAGCTTAAATATGTTTATAGTTTTGTCTTTATAAACTCTTATTTTATAATTTGCCTCTAATGTTATTTTTTAAATTATAAAATTATAAACTTTTGATATGGGTTATAAAATTTTGTGTTATGATTTTATTCCTTTTTTTTTTTAAATATATGATTGTCATATTTTCAATAAATAATGATAGGGTTTAAAACCATAAAATCTTGTAGGGTCCAAAAAAAAATAAAAATAAAATTACAAGGACTAAAATCATAAAATAACTATAATATAGAGACTAAAATATATTTAAACCATATTTTTTTTATAAGTGAAAATTATTGATAAAAAAGTATAAGATGCACTCTAACTCAAATACAAGTTTGTCAGAAACACATTTTAATTGAAAAGATAGAAACAAACTACAGGATTAATACACCAATAAAAGAACACTGAGCTCATTGTCGCCTTAAACTATATTCACGACATGTCCCTTATCTAGTTTAGAACATGGTTGAAGTCAAAAGGAAATCTTTCAAACACAACTTTGTTACTTAATATCAACTCTATATTATTTTTAATACTTACAAAAAATCTTAAATTTTCTTTTTGGTAAATATAAAAATTGCTTAAGATTTTATGCAAACATTAGATATATTGCAATTGGCGGGATGTCAAACTAATGATACAGATGATTAGTAAAGTTTGGAATGATGTCTTTAAAGGTCGAAACCTCAAGGCGGTATGTTTTGAAGATATTTGTTTTTCACTTGAATGTGTTTAGTTATTGTTTAGAAATTTTTGTGCTATAGAAAAGTTGGTAATCACACACACATATATATATATATATATATATATATATATATA